TTCCTGTCAAATCTATGAACAACCGATGCGATTGTCGACGATTTTATGTGGCCACAGCTCTATTCTCCAAGATTTTACGCAGCCTTTTATTGCTTCTTCCTTTATCTTTCTATTTTAGTTCATGAATAATGTATAAAGTTCCGGCGTATTTGTTCGCATTACCGGTTTAAAATTTACGATACCTACCGTACGGAAAAATCTTGTGTTTAAAAGAAATTTGTTTCACGGAAACAACTTTCTTAGCTAAAAAATATTCCATTTAAAAAAATTACGAGCAATTGACGGTAAATTTTGTCTTCTCTTCGGCATAAGCACGTATATTTTATTAATTATAATCAATAATATATTAATAATATATAATCGAGGCAAATTGACAGATAAAATTATTGACCCAGAAAGATGGCTAGCGATTAAAAACTGTGAAAAAGTATATAAGGACAAAAGATTTATTAAATATATTGCGAGAGAGAGAGAGAGGGGTAGGGGCAGGTGAGAAGTGGTCGTATAAAAGAAGACAGAAGGGACAATTAAAATTGCGAACAAGTCGTAAAAGATGAAACTCGTTAACATCGCAACCAATGACTTTTTATCCTCTCAATGTTAAAGCGAGCATGCTATGTTTCCTGTCCCATTTTTCATCCCCGGCTTTCTCGTTTTCACCTTCGTATCTATCTACAGACGTCCTCTCGAAGTGATAGAGAATATCGATTATATGGACCCTTGGCGGCTTCGTAACACGCTGTTATATCGTTCAGATAATTCACTGACACTCTGAGGAGCCTCTTACATTTTTTAGAGAATTTTATATAATTTTTTTTCTGTTGCTTCTCGCGCCGGATATTCGTTTGATAAATATTTGTTGTAAGGATTTTTTTTTTAAATTAAAGCCACATCACAGAACAAACTAATTGGAAACGTGCCACGTGCAATCTCGCGTTAAACGAATCTTTAAGCTGTTACAGATATGAAAAGTGTGATGAAAAAAAATGTTAACATGAGAGCACGATTTTAATTTAAATCGAGTCGATATTTTATATCGCATTGCAAAACTTTTTGATTTGTCGTAATGCCTCCTTTAAAGACATTAAAGATTGTACAAGCATGAATTGTATCGAAATAACAAGTGAGATAAAAGACGAAATAAAATTACTACAGGTGTTTGCTTTATCGCTTTCAAGCGTAATCCTTTTGCAAAGTACTTTGCGAAAGACGTGCGCCGATATACCTTGCTTTGGCGGCATGACGGAAACGCAGCTTTTAAAATTAGGTCGCAGCTTTGTAATCGCGATGTAGCCGAAGGTGGTATTCTTAGACTAGCGGGGTTGTGTAGTCGAGCGTGGCCGGTTGCTTCGTAAAAATTCAATTTGACGTATCGTCTGACGGCGCTCGGCGATGCATCATCTTTGAAACCGACGACCTGACAGATAAACATCTATTTCTCGGAGTAACGACACTACCGATTGCCATCGTTCTTGATTAATCTGAATGTTTCTCGATTTTGTTCCCGACATCAGCGAATATTTTAATCCACTTAGATGTACACAGTAAAAAATTTTGTGTTAAATTTAACATATTTTACATGTCCCAATTTATCCACTCTAATTTTAATGTTAATTTAACAGAAGGCAAGTATGTAAATAAATAACACAAGTAATATGTTTAAAAATTAACACAAAAGTGTGACACTTAAACTTTATCTGGAAATAAAATTTATGTTAAATTAACATATTTATAATGTTAAATTTAATTAAAAGAAAATGTTATTCTTATATTTTTATGATAAATAACAAAACAGATATGTCGATTTAACATATGGAAACTGTTATAGAGAGAAAAATAACACAACTTATCTGTTCATTTTAACATATAACATATTTCATCAAAAATTCGTGCATTTACATATTAATTGTGTTGTAATTCTTAGAAACGGTGAATATTAACTCAACGCAGAAATGTCAAAATAACGCAATGATAATATGTTACATTAATATAAGAATATGTTAAAAATTTAACAGAAAATTTTTTATACGAAAAAATTTTAACAGAAATACAAAATGTTTTTTACCGTGTATATATTTTGAGCATTTGCTTTTCCCATCAATGAAAATATATCTACAGAGTTTTAAATATTTTAAATACGTGTATCATGAACTTTTAATGCTATATCTCAGGTGAAATTTTGCTATAACTTGATTTAATAATTAAAATATATTGTGCAATATACAAAATGTTTTTTTCCATAAAACAGTTTTTTATTTTAAAAAATACAAGTCATTTTTTTCAATTTTGTTTTTCCAATATTCCTATACTTCGATTTTTTATTGCAAATTAAATTTTCATTTTATTTTTGATTTTTTAGATGATAAATTTGAATTAACCATCGCTATTTCAAATGTAGATCGCATTCCAATTGGGTATATAGTTGTGTAATTATTAATTAGGTTGTCAAAAACAAATCAAAACTTGAATAATTTCTCTTTATTATAGAAGTGCAGATATAATTTTTAAATTTATATATCTTAGGCACTATTTTAATATAATGAATACACTAAATTTACTTATATTTTTAATTTATTTTTTTCGAAAGTAATTTTAACAGATTAATGAGATTTTTATGATAAAAATGGTACCAAACACGATATAATTCAGATTAATTTTATTAAATAATAAAAATTTTTGTTGTGCATCTAACGAAAAATTGCTCGAATATATCGTATCTGATATAATTTGCAAAATTTCTCATTAATTCATAAAATTAAAAGAAAAGATCATATATAAAAGTATAAGAATTTTATTTTTTAATTTCTCTTTTTCCCTTTATATTACATTAATAAAAAGTATAGAGAGAAATAATATTATATTAAAAAATAATGAAAAAAAATTAGATTTGTTTCTTTTCAATGTTCGTTTTCTATTTGAAAAAAAAACGGCATTTTTATATATCTCTAGTAATAAGATTTCACTTTAATCAGCCTTCTAATGCAGTATCCAATTTCGATCTTATTTAAGAGAGGGATATATATATATATATATATTGGGATTTAAAATAACCGAGTCGCGGGGTAAAATCGAGTCCGCCCTGTGAACTTTTTTGCGACCAAGATCTATATCGAGAACGTTTGTAGATTGCGCGGCCTGTTCATGATGGACTAGCACGCGAATACAGTCATCGACCCTCTTCTCGGTATGAGCACGTTATACAATACCATCAAACTGACCTGCAGCAACGCTTTATTCAATATAGACCTCGATGCGGTGCGGCGCAGCGAATGGACGCCTTCCTATTCACGAAAAAGTCGATGTACCTCTGCTGAATATTATTTTTACAGTCAAGATTATTCTAAATTGAATTATGCACAATAGAATCAAAGATTCAATTATTTTTCTTCTTTTCACGGCGAAAAAAATGCATGAAAAGTTTGATTTTTTTTCCTTTGCAGAAAAGTACATTCCCCAACTCGTTTCGACTTTGAAAAATAAAGTAAGCCAGGCGTTAAATTGTCGGAAAAATGCTTGTACCGTTAAAATACCAAACGAAGTAAAACGAAAAATATATTTGACACGTAGCACGTGTTCCTTTATAAAATGAGCGATAATGTTTGATCAGATGAACATTGCGCGAATGGATGTGTCATCTTAAGTTGTGCTAAAGAAAATATCCCCCTAGTAATTTATCAGTGTCACGCGGTTTTATTTTAACCGGATGATAAGCCGTGCTGATCTTTTCAATCGAGAAATTCAATATTTGGATTTTCCTGAGAAAGTTGCGATTCCTTTTAATTTATACACAAATTAAATCATATCTATTTGTTTAAATGATAGTTGCAGTGTTGCTGTTGTTGTGTTTAAATGATAGTTGCAGTTGTTGTGTTTAAATGATAGTTGCAGTGTTTGCTGATATCTAGATAAAATTATCTAGATAATCATCTAGATAAAGAAATGGATCATCTTTATCTTTAAGTAGATGAAGAAATACAAAGTATCCTTATTTTTAGCTTAGATAAAGAATATATGTCATCTTATCTAAAAATTGTCTAACAATAAGATGACGTTTTTATTATGTAAAAAAGTTTTCCAGGCAAACTTCTTAAAATCTATCTAAAATATCTAAAATATATGTTATTATTATTATTAATATATTATAAATATATATTATAAATATATTGTTATTATATTATTAATATATTATAAATATATTATAAATATAAATTAATAAATAAATATTTATCATATCATTTATATACCTTTTTGCTATTATTTAAATATTCTTTAGGAAAAAATATGTGTTTATGATTTTAATATCCTATTTATAATCTGCGTCACATTTTTTACAAATATTTATAGTCTTCTAAAATAAACAAAAATATCTAGATAATTATCCAGATTATCGCAATAATTATCTCATCTTTCATCTAGATTAAGTAAAAGCAAAATCATCTTTATCTCATCTAAGATAAATTTACGGATTTTTATCTTTATTTAGATAATTTTGAAATTATCTACAGCAAACACTGTTCATGTACGAACATTAATAGACGTGTACTATTACGTCACGAGATAAAATCGCACGTGTCTCTCCGGACGCGGATCATCGATCCATAGATAAAAGGGGAAACGTTCGATGAACTTAAAAAAATTACTCGAACCGAAAAAAACTTAAAATCTCCAATTTCCAGCTCGAGTAATGACTGTATCAGATTTACCAGAACACACACACGCGCGTATAAAAAGGGATGATGTGCTCGCGCGCGCGCGCGCAACCCTGTAAGCGTCTCGAGAGAGGGGTGCACACTTATTGGAAATGCACACACGTTCGCGCTTTCACTTATACATAGGACATAGTGTGTCGGTTACCTACCCACGGTTTACCACATGTTGCGCTTCGAGGTGCGAGGGGCGCAAGTCAGCCAGGAGCCCGGGCCATCAGGATAGAGACGGAATCTCTCCCTCTCGACTCGGTCAGTTACGCGATCGCTAGCGTACGATTCGCGCGGCCGGTGTGTATCCCGAGCTGTACTTGTGTCATCGGGTCGGTGTCGAAAGGGTGCTGCATCTTGTGAGTGCATCGAACTGACGGACGTGCGCGAGATCATCCCTTAATTTCGCAGCGAGCCAGAGGACATCGAGTGTGATATAGTAAAACGGTGCTGGTGGCTCGAAGATGCTCGAACAGTGAGCGGAAGCCCCGCTTTCTCGACAAGGTCGGTATTATCCAAGAGAAGAGAAGCCCCAACGGGGCCATCCTGTAATTATACGCGTTGCGAAAGAATACCGAGATTATACACGTACACGCGCAGAAATATAGCTGCCATAGGAAATTGGAACATGTTCAGGGAGCATCCACAAGTATAAAGATGCAAAAAAATAATCTCTTGTTTAATGAGTAATAATTCTTTCAAATAATATTACGATTAATTAACACGATATTATAATTCATTAATTATATATGATATAATTCATTAATTATAAATATAATGCAAGTTTCCATTAATAACAAAAGTATCGTAATTTTTGAAAAGAATTTTAATCTTTCATCGCAAGTCAATAAACAACCTGTTGGTAAAAACAAGCTTCCAAAGTGAAAAAACGAATAATATTGTATCACATTATTTTATTATAGATATTATATACAGCGTAGATTACTTCAGCATATATTATTTATTATATATATATAGCGTAATATAGAGGAGCATTATTTTATATAAGAGCTATTTAAATAGATTAAATTCCTTTTAATTATTTTCACAATAATTCCCTTGAACATTACTGTTCGAGAATATTATTATTTTTCTTAAATGAAGGATTTTTTAAATTAGAATTTTTTATATTTTTCCGTATACGGGAAATGTTGAGTTTCGTGAACAGTTTTTATTTACATTAAATAATAATTATGAATGAATAATTAAATAATTAGTATTGTCTATTTAACACAATCTATCTTGTGCGGAATTTATGTAATTGAATATCAGATTGATTTCTCATAACTATGCATTAATCCATTTTAATTGATTCAGCATATGTAAGTAATTATTGTAATATAATTACTTCAATATATGGAGTTGATAAACCGTCAAACATGCGATTTTCTCGCCTTGTGATGAAATGTTGAACATAATTGCCCAAAAATATTTTTATAGTAATTGACTTTCGCGCGATTATTAAATTCCGATTTTTACAAATGTTAATAAATTAACGTAAATTATTTCTTCATTGTGTGCTGAGATATATTTGTATTTTCATATTTTGTTATTTTTTATTTTTTATATATTCAAGAGAGAGATTTTGTTCAATGTATATAGTTGAATCCATTCTTCTGAAAGGATAAAAATTTTGGTAAAAAAATGCAAACGATTTTTTTTAACGCTAAAAAGGAAAAATCTGTATCGCACATTTTCGCGTTGAAGGCATTGAAAAATTGTAAAACCCATACGGGACTCCATCCATTCTGGAAGCATTAAAGAGCATCGTATATATACAGCGCACGAGTTTGGAATAATTTATACTAGGTGAGCATACGGAGCACTGAGATTACATAAAATTTCTGTTATGTTGACAAATAATATGAGAATTTTATCGATAGCCATTCATAAATATTTATTACGCAGTGTTATGATTTTTACGACATTTCACACGTTGACTTATGTATATTCAAAACATTCAAAATTGCGACAATAATTACATCATATATTTGCAGCAATAAAACTTGTCCATTTAGTAAGTCATATATGTATTTTTTGTATACGTATATATATATATATATATATATATATATTTATTTATATATTTATATATTTATTGATTTATATATTTATATATTTATTATTCATATATTCCATTTAGTAAATCATATATATATATTTTCTATATATATATATATAATATATATATGATTTACTAAATGGAATATATAAATAATAAATATATAAATATATAAATCAATAAATATATAAATATATAAATAAATATAAATCAATAAATATATAAATAAATATAAATAAATATAAATATAAATAAATATATATAAATCATTAAAAACATTTATTTCAAGTGATGACATGATTTTATATAAAATTAATTTGCTTTGAATATAAGGATAGATAGTTTCTTCCTTTTCATTGAATTCATAATTCATTCATTAAATAGATGAATGCCGTGAGGCATATAATAACGAGCATGCCTAATTTGCATATATATTTCAGAGATAGATCAAGACGCAATAGTATAACCCGGTTATTTGCGAACGGTCAATGATTTCTCGGCTACTCGGAAAATAGAAACGATTGGATTAGTTCCAGAAAATATTTTATCGTATCGAATCGGAAATGCTCGCTTTACAATGGCACTTTGTCTGGCAAAATGGAGAGCCTCGATTGATGTTGACTTGCGGAATTCTTCAATGTAGATCCTATATTTCTGTAAAATACGTTGTTATGCACTCGAGAATAAAATTCAATCCACGTGCAACGTAGGAATTTTGCTCGAGATTCGCGCACGCGAATCGTCTCGAGTCGTGTCTCTCACAGTGCTTCTCACATCTTGGTACATCCTAATGCTATTTTCATGAATAATTTCCCTACAATTTAATTTATATATTCGCAGGTTCGTGCGCTTAACAGCGCGGTGGGGTGGCCTCAATGCCGGTCAGGAAGGGCCTCCTCGCTCCACAGAATACTTTCTTGGATACCATCGCGACTCGTTTCGATGGAACCCGTAAGTTCTTTTGTTGCTATTATAGAGCTGCAAGATATTAAGTTTAAGTCTTGATTTTGCCTTGTTTTCTTTCTTGAAACTCGAGACAAGATCAAGACAAAATTTTCAATTAGTTATCAAGATAATACCGAGACTAAAAGATTATTGATCTTGTCAATATTATTGATTTTTAAAAAAGCTAAAATATGCAAGACCAAGACAAGATTTAAATTTTCGAAAATTTTTAACACCATTTGGTTTTTTTTTACAAATATTGTCTTGTCTTGAGTTTTGTGCAACTCTAATTATTATTCTGTTATGTACATTCGTATGTCAGTTAATATTAAGCGAAAAAAATATCGCGAAAAAATTTATGGTCAAACTTTCATATTTGTTAGCTCTTTTCTTCGTTTTCAATTTTTTATTACAATTATTTAATTACAAATTTTTAATTTATTAAATTAAAGATATTTTCTATACATTTCACTGCGACAATAATTTGTCTTTATAAAAATCGCGAAAAAGTTTTATTCGTAAAACTCTTTTTAAGAGTCGAGAAATGGCAAACGAAAGTATTGCGAAAGCATTACGAAAGCATTGCGAAAACGCCAGAGTCGTCCCTTATTTCGTTTTAGCTTTGATCTTCACATGCGAGGGGTGCGCTCCCCTAGTTCTTTTCACGTGTTGCTAGGGATACAAACGATATTCAAAACGCCACGTCTCGAGTTCCATTTTTGCGGATGTGCGAAAACAAAATATAATGTAATGAGACATATAACATACAAGATAATTACGTTATTAATATAAATTATGTAATAACAACTTCTTATTTATAAACAGTACACGCGTTAGAATAAAACGATTCGATTCATCGGTGCTCATCCTTATTCATTTAAGTTTCGCCTGAGCTGCCTAAATCTAATGCTCTTGTATCACATAGTTTCCCTTAATAATATCTCGATGCGTGCATCGGCATTAAACTGCACAGACATTAATGATGCGAAACGCATAGGATGTCGGTATCGATGTACACACTAAAGGTGGTGTAACATCATAATGATAACGCGTTGCAAGCATCCATTGGATGTATGATTGAAAACAAATTCTCTCGAAAAATGCTAAAATTTTTTACTCATTAAAAAGCCAGTATAAGATTTTATACTTGAAATTTAAACAATATAAATAGATTGTAAAATGTAATAGAATCTTCCGAGTCCGAAATTTTTTAATAACGTAGATGCGACAATTAGAATTGCAGGGGATATTGAGATTAATCTTGTTTTGTCTTGTCTTCGACATAAAATCGAGATAAAATTTTTAATTAGTTATCAAGATTACATCAAGATTATGATTATTGATCTTGTTAAGATTAAAAAAAAGTATATACATAAAATATATTTGTAAATTAAATGAGATAAATCACTATTATACACAATCAATCGTAAAGAAAAGAAAGGCCATGGCCGCAGTTGAGCATAATAAAAAATATTTTTAAATTACTGAGTGTGTTAAAAACATGTAATTTAATTATCAAACCGTTCAATCGTTTTTGGATCCTTTTCCTGGTATACGAACGTTACAAAATAAGTAAAAAATGTTTAAATTGTTGGTGAATATGTATAAATACATAAAACTAAAGGTCATAATATATCTGACCCAAATCTCGCAAACATTGTTGATGTATTTTATGACCTTTAATCTATTTATTATATATATATTCACGACAATTAATTTTTATTTATTCTCGATTTATTTTGTAACGATCATATATCATTAAGAAGGATCTGAAAAGGATCGAAACGTGTGATAATTAAATATTTTTAACTCAGTAATTTAAACATATTTTTTAAGGAGGCTTGCCACGGCTTGCCCTATCAGGATCTACGATTCATTTACTAAATCCAGACTTTAACGGCCCTTTTTTCCTTTGCAATTAATTATTATTTAAGAGCTTCGATTTTTGTTTGACTATTACATACAAATTTAAAAGATTTATTTAATAAATGAAAATATATTTATATTAATAAACATTTTTAGAAACAATTATTATTTAGCTATACATTTTATGCAGCTAAATAATTGTGTAAAATTTAATTTTGTTAATTTTGTTTATTATATTAATTGTATATACAGGATGTTTCATTTTAGTTGCTGACCTCGAATATCTTTTAAATGATATATTTTCGTGGAAAATGTTTCAGACAAAAGTTGTAGAAGTTTAAAAAGGAAAGAAAGATATTAGTTTGAGGTCATGTGAAGTTAGTTTGATTTCAAATGTAAGTGCTAAGTCCATGTTAGTTAATTTAATTTTTTTAAATGGTGTTATCCTAATTGTCTATATAAATCGATTTCTCGCAATATTCTATAAAAAAGTTATAAAGATAGAGCAACCAAAAATTGAATAGTTTATGAGATATTTTATACTTTAAGTTGACATAATAAAATATTTCGAATAATATAGAATAATATAGTTGCTCGTTGCAAGTTCATATTTTCTTTATATAATTGATTTCTTTTATTATTTGGTTGTATTTATAAAAATATTAAGGTAAAATAATTAAAAAATGAATATATTATGAGATATTTTATGTAATAATGAGATAGTTTATGTAAAGTTATAAAAGTATAAAATATCTTAAATTATTCAATGTTTGGCTATTCTATCCTTATATCTTTTTACGTGGAATATTGTGAGAAATTGATTTATATGAACAAATTAGGGTAGTTCCATTTCAAAAAGCTGGTTGACCTTTACATAGCACACATACAACCATAGCACTTATACCTGAGGTCAGACTAATATTCCTATCTTGTTTCCTTCTCCAAACTCTACAACTTTTGTCTGAAACACGAAAATGTATTATTTAAAAGGTATTCGAAGTGTTTAATTATGTTAAATTATATGATACAAATTATATTAAATTAAATTATATTAATTAAATTATATTATTTTAAACGATCGTTCAATATAAGATAAGAAAATCATTAATAAAATCGGGACAAGATACTTTTAAATATTGTTTTGCTTTGAGTCTCATACAATTCTCGCGATAGTATTGTCTAATTTGACAAAATTAAAGAGATTAATTTTCTAGAGCTTATCCCGTGGCAGTTATCGATATAACGTGACATTCCTGCACGCGATTGATCGTATCCACGTTCCATCCTAAACGCTTATCCGCATGAATCTTCCCTCGATTTCTATCCCATCCCGTGCAACCACAAGTTAGTTAACACCTAACTTTCGTGGGTCAAGTTGTACCGGCACTGATATAAACTTTAGTCCTAGCTACGAGAGAAATCCAATTATGGGAAGTAGGCGGTGGATCGCCAATGTCATCATCTTAAGCAAATTACAGTTAGAGTTGCATCCTTAATAAGTATCGGCGTACTTTTTCCCTTATCCGCGATATCGAGAAATCCTGCGCTTGCGAAAAGTTCAATGCATTCAATCCGTCGTATAGCATAATTGTATCCTCTGCGATTGACATTCTCTCCTCATTTTGCTAATTTTTATTCCTCTCTTCTCTTTCACATATTTTTGTGTCTCTTTATTCTTTATTCTTCTTATTATTATATATTATATTCTTTATACGGGGTGTCCCATTTTAAAAAACGCACCTCGATAATTCTTCAACGAAGCATTTTCAGCAAAAATGTTTCAGATAAAAGTTGTATAGTTTTAAGGGGGATATAAGATGATGTTATTAATTTTACCTTGAATAGTCACTGGCATGACTTGAAGGTCACGTGAAGGTCAATTTGAAATTTTTAAATGAAAATCACTATTTTTTATTACATATTCTTGTAGCTTATCTCGAGAGCTTTCCAAAACACTATAATAATGTATTTTTTCATTGAGTACTTTTCGAGTTATGAGGCTTCAAATGTTTTTTTAATTTTACATAAACCGTAAAATATTCATTTTTCGATTATCTAACCTTAATACTTTTATGCACAAAATAATGTAAGAAATCGATTAGTGTAAAAAAAAAATACATACTTGTTTTTAAGAAAAAATATGTAATTCGCAATTAACAATTACATATTTTTCTTAAAAACATCTATGGATTTTTTTTACACCAATCGATTTCTCACATTATTTTGTGCATAAAAGTATTAAGGTAAGACAATCGAAAAATGAATATTTTACAAGATATTTTATGTAAAATTAAAAAATCATTTCAAGCCTCATAACTCGAAAAATACTCAATGAAAAAATATTTTATTATAGTATTTTGGAAAGCTATCGAGATAAGCTACAAGAATGTGTAATAAAAAATAACCAGTTCCATTTAAAAATTTTAAGTTGACCTTTATGTAACCTTCAAGTAACTATTCAAGGTCAAATTAATGACACCATCTTATGTCCCCTTTGAAGCCATACAACTTTTGTCTGCAACATTTTTGCTGAAAATGCTTCGTTGAAGAATTATCGAGATACGTTTTTTTAAAATAGAGCACTCTCTATATTTTTTAAATATTATATTCAAATATCTAAGTTAATATATGCAGTGTGACTGATTTTATTATTATTTGTTTATGATTATTCCTCTTGGCAAAATTGAAGATGCTTCTCGTCATGTTGCGTTTTTCTCTTTCGATTGTTATATCGACGCATTATGTGCACGCTCTACGGACAACCCCTCGCTAAGTGAACACGTGATAAAACTTTGCGACCATCGACCTTGCGTTTTACCATGCGTCCGCCAGTAAAGCATACAATATTAATCTCACTTCGGCGCCGCGATCGAATATTACGAACAACATTCTGTTTCAAAAGTTGTGTATTTGCGTTCTAATCCTTATAAAGTACTTGCACGAGAAACGAGATACATCTCTAATATATATTAAAATGTCATTATTAATATATCGTAATTAATATATAATTTATGAAACCAAAATTGTTTTATGTGCCACGAATCACAATTATTATAAAGTGACATCTTTTACGATATACAGAGTGTCTCAAAAGTCCCGGACCGGTCGAATATTTCATAAACTATGCACTTTAGAAAGAA